AGTAAGCCATGTGTTTAAGATCTTGGGGTTAAAGCTTATATTACCAGCATGGATAGGATCAGGAATGAAGTCATGTCCTAAAGTATGCATCTTCATCAAAGGAGTCAATCCAGCTGTATCGCCGAAATCATAAGCGTAAACCCCTTTGGTCAATGAAGGACAAGCCGAGGGCTCAACGGCTCTTATAACAGGATTGATTTTGCCTTTGAGTTTCTCCCGGATAAAAGGAAAACTCAAACCAGCAAAATTCGATCCTCCACCGGTACACCCTATGATCACATCCGGCGTTTCGCCAAAAGCCTCCATTTGTTTTATGCACTCTTCTCCAATAACCGTCTGGTGTAACAACACATGGTTCAGTACACTCCCTAGGCAGTATTTTGTATCCTCATTTCTCGCTGCAACTTCAACAGCTTCTGAAATCGCAATGCCTAAACTTCCCGGACTTGATGGATCCAATTGTAGGATTCTTCTACCTGCTTCAGTGAGATCCGATGGCGATGGATGAACCTTTGCTCCCCAAGTCTGCATCATTAACCGTCGATATGGCTTCTGATGATACGAATTCGCCACTTGCCATACCTATAGATATCGGAATAAAACATTAAAGAAAGGATTCAACTTTCAAGATATAAACTCCAAGAATCAAACTCTTTACGCTTACTTCGCAGTCAAGGCCAAACAGACTAGAAGCAAAGGCTAAAGAACTTCCCCATTGGCCAGCCCCGGTTTCCGTCACAACGTTCTTAACACCTTCTTTCGCATTGTAATAAGCTTGCGGAACCGCTGTGTTTGGTTTATGTGAACCAGCTGGACTACCACCTTCATACTTGAAGTAAATCCTTGCAGGTGTCTGAAGTAGCTTCTCCAATCTCTTTGCTCTAAAATCAAACCAAGAACAATAAAAAAAAACTCATAGATTCAGGCTCTGGTTTATGAAGAAACAGTGTTATAAGAAGAAACAAAAATCAAGAACCTGATTAGAGGAGTTGGACGCCAAAGCTTGTAGATCTCAAGAACTTCCTCAGGAATATCAATAAACTTCTCTAAAGTTGCTTCTTGTTTAATCAACTCATTAGGGAAAAGATGAGACAAATCTTCCGGTTTAATCGGTTCGAAAGTCTTGGGATGTAACGGTGGAGGAGGCTTAACAGAGAGATCAGCAACAAGATTGTACCATTGGTTTGGTATTTCAACAAAAGATGATGATTGGTTGCGATTAGTAGATCTCAAACCTGAGTTTGCTCTTAATCTAAATCCATTTCCTTGGTAATCACCTAAATCAAATCAAAATCGATATCAAGACATTTAAAAATGGTAACTTTGAAGATGGAGCTTCAACAACAGTCAAAACCAAGGAAAAAAAAAAGATGGAACTTTTCGACAAATTAAAACTGCATTTACCTGTAAAGGCTGATTTGGTGAATGGGTTTGGAGGCAAAAGTAGTTGAGATGCCATTTTTTTTTTTTTTTGGCAGTTTCTATCAGTTTCAAGAGATAGGAATTAGGGATTTGTGGGAATTTATTGAAGTGAATGATTTTTGAGCTTTGAAGGATATGAGAGAGTGAGAGAGAAAACTAAAGAGATCGGTGAATTAAATAAAAGGGAGACACCAAACGAGTCTTCCCAGCACCCAACGCTACCTCAGGATTTGAATA